TAGGGCTTTAGGGCTTCAGGGGCTTTAGGGCTTTAGGGCTTCAGGGGCTTTAGGGCTTTAGGGCTTCAGGGGCTTTAGGGCTTTAGGGTTCAGGGTTTAGGGCTTTAGGGCTTTAGGGTTTAGGGCGTAGGGCTTTAGGGCTTCAGGGGCTTTAGGGCTTTAGGGTTCAGGGTTTAGGGCTTTAGGGCTTTAGGGTTTAGGGCTTTAGGGCTTCAGGGACTTTAGGGCTTTAGGGTTCAGGGTTTAGGGCTTTAGGGCTTTGGGGCTTAGGGTTCAGGGCTTATAGGGCTTCGGGTATGGAGTTTAGGGTTTAAGTACGGATTACGGTATATAGGGACTTAGGGCTTCGGTGAAGGTGTCCGTTGGTGGAAGGACGCCTCTAGCTCTTTCGCTATATAAGCCGACTGTTCGACGATAGGGATACGTAGGGATTTCCGAGATTTAACAGGAGGACTCAAATTCTGGTCCTTCTAAAATCAAGAGCAGCCTACTCTGTTGGAGGCCATGGCCTAATGCTAAGAACCACGCTGCTTCTGCAAAGCTTATTGTCCTAGGGGACTTTGCCCTAGAAGCCCAGTTGCCCACGTAACGGGTTGCTGCACTCTGGGTCATATTATTGGGACGCAAGCCTATACTGTCTATACAAACAGTTTATCACTGGGCTTCCAGAGCTCGTTCTGAGTTTAAAGGGACGTAAACATGAAGGACGTCAGGTTACCAGGAGTGGCGGTGGACAACTTGTGGGATCTAGCTGCATATGCAGTAGGGCACAGGGTACACCCTGAGAGATCAATTTCTACGGCCTGATGATTGGTATCAACAGCCAGTGCACGGGCAGTACTGTTCGTAGCATGTGTGAGGCTGAAAGCAAATTAGGTTGCTGTTGAATCCGCTCTTCAGAAACTGCTCCAAGACGAGACCTACAGTGGAACGAACGAGGAGCTGTGGGGGCAGACGGTGGTCCAGGTAGTTGCGATCCGGATCTGCAGGAATTCCGGTGTCGAGGGGTTGGGGTTTATGGGTGGGTTGTGGGTCCTCTTCTGAGCACCACTATAATGATCGGGGTCTGTACGTTTAGGACCTTAAAGGGTTTAGAGATTGAAGGTTCAGGGGTCTACGGTGTTACGGAAAAAACCAGGGGTCCACTAAACACTGTGGAAGCCAAAAAAACCGACAGCGCACTAGACCCTAAACCCTAAAGCCCTAAAGTCCTAAACCCTTATCCCCATGAGCCCTGAAGCCCACCCTAAACCCTAAAGCCCCAGACCCTAAACCCTAAAGCCATAAGGCCTAAAGCCCTAAACGCTAAACCCTAAAGTCATAAAGCCCTAAACCCCAATCACCATGAGGTGAATCTCTGAAGCCGGGGAGCAGCGACCTTCTCGGCTATCAGATTCACGGTCTCTTTGACTTTTGACACTTTGGCCTGCAGAAAGTGGGGTTTAGGGTTTGGGGTTTAGGGGTTCTCTAAGGCCCCCAAAAATCCTAAATCCCCCGAGACTCCGTGTATGTAACCGGTGCTGACTCGTGTAAGTCCCCCCCAGGAACACACATAGCTATGTAGGTCCCCAGAGCTAACATTGATAGAGACGGGGGTTGTGCTGATAGAAAAGAGCCCGTGTATTATAGAAAAAAGCTGGTTTTTATAGCAAATATGCGCTTGGAGGGATTTAAGACGGTTGAACCCCAACATCGGTTAGGATTTATGTATGCGATTCACGGGATAATGTATATATGGGAGGGAGGCTGAAGGCAAGTGTGCTCCGACTGTCAGACGTTGATCAAGACATGCTGTCGTGGAACTGTACGATAATAAATGTTATAATATATGTGTGTATACAAAATATAAGAAGAAATTCAACTCTAAACACATACATAAATAAATAAATAAATATATATATATGTATACATGCATACGTGCACCTGTGCATGCACGGTTATGTATTGTAAGACACCCATGTCATTTGACATCGCACTGTCTGTCTATATATACACATACATATACACACATGCATATGTACATATATACACATACATACATACATACATACATACATACATACATGTACATGTACATACATATAGACATACATACAATATATATATATATATATAGTTACACACGTATGTTAACTATGCCACATGTACCTGCATTTCTATTTATATGTGTATATATACATATATATATATACACATGACGAGTTCGAATTCGTAACACATCACAACATTTTAGATCTAGACTCTTTGACCTGGCTTCGCTGGCATGTCCCTGTGTCCTCGTGGTTGAGATGGTGCGGTGTGCCTGGGTCCGAGTTGATGTGTGCTGCCTATATATGCATGTTCGTGTTAACGTATAATATAGCTATGCACTAGAGGCTCGGTGCAGCGATGGTTCGATGTCGGGATGTGGCGAGCAGGAGCCTACAGCTAGCGCCTGAGATCCCACTTCATACTTAAAATTATCGATGCGGGTGGTGTTCAGGTCGCTTTGGTTCCCTGGCTTCGTCGTCGTCTGCGAGGCAGTGTTCTACCCGTTCGCCGGTGTTTTAGAACTAACCCCATCGCCTAGGCGGCGGTCTCGATCAAGATCACTTCGGAGGCTCGGACATCGAAGCCAAACAATCCCCTTCCCGCTCCATCCAATTCCTCCACCCCCCACCCATTCCCAGGCGGCGGTCGCGATCGCGATCTCGAGATCGGGGTCATGCATCGAGCAGCAGGCCCACGATCGATGACACAGGGTATGCGATAGGATTTGTGATATACTCTATATAATATACA